TTTGAATGTATTTTCAAAAATTTGTGCTAATACTTTGACATGAGTAGATTTTTGACCGAGTAACTTTTACTTGTAGCTATGTAAGATTTGACTATGAGTATCAATACTTTTATTCAAGTACTACTAATGAGTAGTTCGTCCACCACCAACTATTACACTCTCCACTTGACTAGAGCCAAACAGTCAGAGAAGTAAACCATCTGTTACCATTTGTATCGGTTGTTTGGTTAAGTTGGTTAATCTAACCAAAATTGGAACTAATCAACATTGGAACTAACCAAAATTGGTTTAACCAACCAGATTGGTTGTTTTCCAAACAATACATTCTTAGAGTGTAATGTCAGCTGTTTTGGTGTAAATCATTAAAACAATGCCTGCGCTCAATTGCAATGTTAGATGAGGAATTTATGTCCCCCTGAAGGCAGTTGCGCCTCCGGACTTCCCTTCCGGTTCTTTTCCTGGGAGCAAGTTATTTACTACTCTTAACTAATATCGGGTAAAACCATAGAAAAAAGGACTACAAAAACAGGAGTAAAAAAGTAACAGAGTTTATTCCAGATGAGGTCGTTACAGGACAGAGAAAATGCTTGGAGCTTGCACAGCTGTGGGCTCAAAAAAACGTCAGCGAGCGTCCGGCAAAGATTGAACCCCGAACATGGTAACCTCCTGCTTCTTATAGCTCATGAGTCTATGTGTTGCACCAGGTGGATGCTTTGCAGTCCGTATCAGAAACTGACACGCCATCCATGCCCAAGGATTACAGATAGCTCTCCTGTATCAGTCCGGCTCCAAGATATGCCCCTATCCTGTGTATCTTTAAAAGACAAGAAGGCTGTCCTTTTTAGATGACCTCCTTACACACAGTGACATCCACAGTGTGAAGGAAGGCCTTCTATTGTCTCTAATCTGGCTAACAAAGTAACAATGCACATGATGTGTAAAAGAATAAACCTAACAGCAACAATGAGACAACCCTAGAAAACACAGATTTCATTTCAGGTAGAGCCACTGGTTTTATTAATCTTATTTATCTTAATCTAGTTTAAACAGAATGCTAGATTATCTTCACACCTATAACACCACAGGATTAAAGGAATAGTACACCCAAAACATGATTAGCCTTCATTTTCTACTCACCCCCATGCTGAACAACACTCTGGAGTACTTTTTTGATATCTCAAATGCATCTGGAGATCTGGGAGGCTTCTTGCTGTCTGCTGACATTCAAATAATGGAGGTCTATGGTGACCGAGACAGAAAGGTCCATAAAAGTCCACAAAAAACGTGTCAATATTCCTCCATACTGCTCGTCCAATGTATTCCAAGTGTCCTGAGTGGGTAGCGTCCAGAATTTACTCGAAACGAAGTCATTTAGAATGTTTTTAGAGCATAAACAGTAGTGTATAGGATTTCCTGAAAGCACGCACATGCGCGATCACGAGGCTACGGAAGCCGGCAGACCAAACCAGATGAAAGTGCGCATTCAGCGTCTGCTCTTCCAATAATGCAAGCGTAGAAGAAGAAATGTGCCGTTTACCTGTGCAAAGAAAGAAACAACGAAAGAAAAATGTCTGAGGACTTCAGTGTTGAGGAAGAGCATGAGTTCTTTGCCGAGCTGAATGCGCTGGTTTGGTCTGCCGGCTTCCGTAGCGTCGGGATCGCGCAGGTGCGCGCTTTCAGGAAATCCTATACACTACTGTTTATGCTCTAAAAACATTCTAAATGACTTCGTTTCGAGTAAATTCTGGATGCTACCCACTCAGGAAACTTGGAATACATTGGACGAGCAGTATGGAGGAATATTGAAACGTTTTTTGTGGACTTTTATGGACCTTTCTGCCTCGGGCGCTGGGCACCTCCATTATTTGAATGTCAGCAGACAGCAAGAAGCCTCCCAGATCTCCAGATGCATTTGAGATATCAAAAAAGTACTCCAGGGTGTTGTTCAGCATGGGGGTGAGTAGAAAATGAAGGCTAATCATGTTTTGGGTGTACTATTCCTTTAACTGCAATATAACTTTTTTTTGTCTCATCATAATTTTAAATCATTAACACTTGTAAGCATAAAAAGCCAAATAAATATGACACCAAAATTTGAAGGTGACTGCTGCTTCACCTCATAAACTCTAATACTCCTGCAGAGTTTGTTTGTTTTTTTCTTTTAAGTACCTTTAATTATCTCACTTTTTTGAGGAAAATATGTTTTCTTCATTTTTTTGCATCTATATATCATTGCTATCAAACCTTTGTAACTTGTATGATAATAAAATGCTGGTTTTGGAAATACTACTTGTTTTTGTGTGAAGTAAGTTCATACATACGCAGATGGAATACGGAAAGTTTTTAAAATCCCACAATGAACATTTGCTGAGGCAAAAGAAGACAACAACAAGCGGCTACATTTACTCCCAAAGCTCTGTGGGTTTTCCTCTCTGCAGTTTTGTAACTTGGCTGCTGATCTGTTGATATTCAGCCAAAACAGCTGAAGAAAGGGTGAATACAAGCTTTTGTTCCAGCTCACGCTGAAAGGTTTCACTCAAGTTGTGTAACCACTTTGTTAAAGTTCAACACCATAAATCTTGGAAACCAACATTGGCTTTTTTCACCAAGTTCTCTACAAATGATAAATGGTGTTTATTTTGAAACCTTTCTTGTGAGAATATTTTTGATGTAGCTTTACTGACTGGATCGATATAAACAGTTGTTACTGAAGATCTCAGAACAGCAGTTTGTCTTTGACACTGCTGTTTTTTAGGGACTAAAATAGGAATAGCTACTGTATCTTTCCAAAATAAAGAAAACTAGTTTGACCCCTCTCCAAATTTTAACCAAGACAAGTTCTACTTGGAGTTAAATTATTTTTGTTAATAAATTCTTATATTTGAATGGAAGCTTTTGTAAACTATTTGTGATTTGAGCTCAATTGAGTTTAATTAAGATTATTTAAATTCAATTAACAACACGTCATATCAATAAGTTTCTATCAAGGAGAACTAGCTGATTGCATCGAGGGACTGACTTGCAGGACGCGCTCCTCCTGGATGAACACGTGGTAAACATAGATAATCGCTTGCATTTTGTTGTTTACTCTACAACATCCCTCACACCGAGCATACATGCAGTAACAGTGGCAAGAAAAAAAAACTCCTTTTAACAGGAAGAGACCATAACCAGGGTCAGTGTGGGCGACCTTCTGCATGGCTGACTGTGGCTTCAAGGAGAGGGAAGCAGACAAACAAAACAAAGAAAGGAGCACTGATCATTCAATACATTCTATGTTAGAAAGGCAACAGGAAACTTGCTGTGCTTTCTCTGGGAAAGAAGCAGTTCAGCAAACAAGCACTGAGAGTTTTTCCATGTCGAAGGGATGAAACAGAGCACATACAGTTAGTCACTGTAATTGTAACTGTAACTATTAATGGAATAAGAAGTGGAGGTGATGAAGGAGTATACAGGGATAAAAAAGGAATTAAACACGCCACCTTTTTTTTTCGGGAAATATATTTCTAGCAATGACATGACATTTTCACCAGATGTCGGTAAACCTTTTTGCACCTCCCTTTCTTCCCGGGTTCAATACGTTTTTCCCATGCCATTCCACATTATTACACACGACTTGATTGCTGGACATCTGTGGTTTGCTTTCTTTGTATGTGTGAATTGCATGGATTGTTACCAACATCTGGTTAGAATGTCATGTCAATAGCACCTCTAGAAATATATTTACTGAGAAAAATTGTAGCGTGTTTAATACTTATTCTACCCACTATAAATACCTTGGTGTTCACCTGGACAGCAAAGTTGACTGAAGATGCATCTGGGAAGCCGTTTACAAAAACTGACAGAGCAGATTGCACTTCTAAAGAAAGACTACGTCCCTCTGTATTTGTAGCAAGATGCTACCTATTTTCTATAAGTCGTTTGTGGAGAGTTTGATCTCTTCTGTCATTATTTGCTAAGATAACAGCAACAGAGCAAATGATTTTAAAAGGCTGATTAAGAAGTCCGGCTCTGTTCTAGGAACCCATCTAGAACCTCTCAGGTTTTCACAAAGAGGAATTCTAGAATGAATGGACAACAGTGAGAAACCTGATCAGCAGACTCCTAAACACCAACAGTGTCCAAAGTCAGAGGCTACTCCAGATCCCTGCAAGACATACAGCTACAAAGGCTCCCGCCTGCAGTCTACAACTTGCTAAAAAAAACCAAAAAAATAAAAAAAAAGCTCTTCAGTTATTACAACATTTAATTTCCCTTCAGGATTAATACAGTATTTTTTAATTGAATTGTACTGGAACCTTGGGCTCTCATCCGGGTCTACCTTGGGCATGACTGGATGACAGTGAAGCCCATGGGTATCATAGTGCCTTAACATCTAGTTGGATATTAAACAGAGAATAGTAATGTTAAAATGTATATTTCTGTAATAATATCCGAAGTATGTTCAGGGATCACAACGTTTTTTTTATTGGTTTTTATCATTATCACAAGTCATACATTGCTGAAGGAATGCGACAATTGTTCATGCTGTTACTGTTTTCGGAGCAATTATTGTCTAAGTTATCTAAAGCCACCCCTTAATTTAAGCCGTCTTTTAAAATGAGCAGAAGTCTCCCCTACTTTTGAAGGCTTTTGTTTTCCTTCTTTTGTTTAGTTGCCTATTTTCATAAAGTTTTCTTTTTTAGTTAGTCAACATGAAATGCATTTTGTAATTTTCTCTCTTCAATGTGGTTTATGTAGGGAAGATATGAGATTATACAGTATTTGTAGAGTGGCTTTACTCTGACAGAAGTTCTGTTTGAACTGGTTATAATGACTTGGCTGAAACTCAGATCTGTAAACCTCAGCTTGCTAACTACACCGTTAACACTTCTCTGGCAGATGTACTAAGTTCATTATCCTGTCATCCACGTGACTCAACAGTTGAACAGGCCTAATCCAATTAAAGTAGCAGCTCGCCTATATGCTCTCCTAAGCTTACAGTTAGGTCAGGATATTTACAAGTATTCCAACAACACAACACAGTCAGAGGTACTAGATGAAGTTTAATTTCTTTTGAACTGCTTTGTTTTATTTTTGAAGTTTTCTTTACCTGAAATAATTTGTCTTCTTTGAAACACTGGGATTATTTTCTGTTCCAGTATAAACAAGTTTACATATTTCTTGTCTTCAGGCGTGCACCATGTCTATCATCAAGATCCATGCCAGAGAAATCTTTGATTCTCGTGGAAACCCCACAGTGGAGGTTGATCTTTACACTGAAAACGGTAGGCCTGACTTCTCGACTTGAGTATTTTTCTGTTTCTGGATATTAATATGTGAAATAAATTGTCTATGAAATCAATGAAATCAAAATTAAGCTTAGGAGTTTGTATCTTAGCCCCCTCAGACACTGTTTACTGAACGTTTTCTGTCTACAGCCCTGCTGAAGTAATATTTGTAATGGAGGGATTTGAGCTGCACGACTGCAAACAGTAACTTGTAGGAAATACTGCAGAACATTTTTTTCAATAATAAAAAAAATCACTCTCTACTCTCGTCTGTTTTGGTCACTAAGCAACTGACATCAATGAGGCATTGTTTAGGAGCTATTTATCATTATGTTGTCTTGCCCCTCTGGCTCACTTTATCCATATTTTTATATCAATAATACTGGTAGACTGTAGCATATTCCTTTTTAACCTAATTTAATTGACACAGTGTTAGTTAAATTAGATATTCGAATTCCCCTGGAAAAAAGTGCTTCATTTTTCGTTAACCATTAGTGTCTGATGTACATTGTTGGGTTTTTTTTTGTTCTGCTTGATGTTGTCCAGGCTTGTTCCGAGCTGCTGTTCCAAGCGGTGCTTCTACTGGGATCTATGAAGCTTTGGAACTGAGAGACAATGACAAGTCTCGCTACCTGGGAAAAGGTCTGTGAATCCTATTCATTTAGTTTTAATATGGATAATAATTGTCTGAATTTGTGGTTTTACCTTTCTGATAAAATAAATGTTTATATTTGTGTGTTCTGCCTCTCTCGTGTTCTTTGTCAGCTCTCCTTGTTCCCACAGGCATTAAAGTGTTAGCAAGCTTATTTCCCCTGTGATTTTTGAATTAAAGACAATGTTTTCACAGCCAGGTAGTATTAAACGAGTGCTAACTTATCATCAGAGTATAATATATCAGCAAGTACCCAAGTATTTCCACACCAAACCAACCATGATTTGTGTTTGGTGTCACACCAAACAAAAATCTAATAGCTGGATAGAAGGATTTCCATTTATCCTTATCTGTAGAGCATCTCTTGGGTGCTGCAGGGGAAAGTGAAGCAGAGCGAGGCAAATGGTGTGTTTTGAGGGAATTCGTTGAAATTAGGTTGTCTGCTAATTAGGTGAAGCAAAATTTGCAGGAGTTAAAAGAGTGAAGGAGGCAGTGAAGACAGGCTTTTTAATTAAAAATAAAAATAGAGACAATAATTTGACAAAGAATGAGGTGGGGTTGCTCAACTAGGAAATAAGCTATCCCCACCTGCGAGCGGGCAAAATCATTTTGCCTATGAGTGGTCTAGCCTCGATCCAAGAGGCTCTACGCTCATTAATTTTTAAGAAGGACGTATTCACCGTTTCACCGACAGGCTGTTTGTTTACTCGCCCACCAGCTTTCTGTCACGCTTACTACATCACAGTCAGTTGCGCTTATTGGTCAGAGCGTTGTCCAATAGGCACAGACATGGTTTGAAAAACAACGGGTTGTTCTCATCATCAATCTTCCTATGTCTCATTCATCGGGGCCAGACTAAATTACACATTTAATCTCACATTTAGTCTGGTTTATCAGACTAGGACATAGAGGTAAACATGGAATAATTTGTGATCCTTGGTGTTAAAAATGTATCACGTTTTTGTTTTAAATGTTTTGTTGCTGAGTATTTTAGCTTTTCTAACCTCTAGAATCCACAACAGAATTTCATGGAAGGTGAAGCAAATGAACAATTATACTTTGCATGCAGTCTTTATCTCAAGTGCAATATATCCTCAGTCTTTTGCAAATGTGTACCCCTTGAACTAAAAACCTATGTTGTACTTCTCAAACCACAAATTGGGTGAGGCGTTGTCACAGAGGTAGAGAGGCCATCATCAGGTTAATTCCCAATCTTGGGAAACCTTTAATGCATGTTTTAACCCTCTTTCCATAAAATAAAGGACATAAAAACAAACTCAAGCACAAATTATAATGCATGAAGTTTATTGCATTGTCTCATTGATTCGAAGGCAGTCCCTCATAACAAGCATGCTTGTAGTGACAGTGGAGAGGAAAAACTCCCTCTTAACAGGAAGAAACCTCCAGCAGAACTAGGCTCAGTGTGAATGGCAATCTGCCGAGGCCGAGGGGGGTTCAAGGAGACAGAAGCAGACATACAGAAAGAAGCAGAGATACAAAAGGGAACTGTTAACCAGCTCCACAGGCAGTCCCTGTATGTTTCCATGAAACATACAGCACACATTGATTGGTTATTTTCCTTAAGTGAAAACAGTGTAAACACAGTAGGGAGAAATATTAGTCACCGAAACTTCCTTAGATCCCTAAGAGGTTCATGCTATGGAAACACACATTCAGTTGAGCCGTGGTGGGTGATGCTAGTTGAAATGACCCTGAATCAAATTATTTTCAGAGCTCTGTACAGCTTTTGATTTGCTCTTCGATTAATACAAGGTTGTTATTTTGACTTTAACTTCTTTAAGAAATAGAAAAACACTGGTCATTTGAAAACAGTGGAACCTATGAGAATATTTGTTCTAATCATACCTTTGGTGCGAATCAACTACATGAGAGGTTGCATGTGTTCTGTAACCATCTCTTTAAAGAACTGGTGGATAATGTAAAGAGATAACAATTTTCTGTCCATTATAGGGGTCTCCCAGGCTGTAGAACACATTAATTCAAGTATTGGTCCAGCTCTTATCAGTGAGGTAAGACAGCAGCTCAGTGTTTGTTAGTTCTTTCTTCCTTACTTGATGTAAATTCATTTCTTTTATAAAATGTTAATACCTGTTTCCTCAGGGTGTATCTGTGGTTGAGCAGGAGAGAATTGACCAGATGATGATCGATCTGGATGGCACAGAGAACAAATGTAAATTTGTGAATAGTCTTGTTATAACTCTCTTTTGGGCTTTTGCCTTTTAGATTTAGACCACATGAAGTTTCACTGCGACTCAGTGTGTGCATAAAGTTATTGTAGATTGTTGTCTTTCTGCTTTGTCTTTCATTATTCTAAATGCAAGTATTTGATAACATTTATTGTATGTTTTTAGCCAAATTTGGAGCAAACGCCATCCTTGGTGTTTCTCTGGCCGTTTGCAAAGCTGGTGCTGCAGAAAAGGGCGTTCCCCTCTACCGTCACATTGCAGACCTGGCAGGAAACCCTGAGGTTATATTGCCTGTTCCGGTGAGACAACAAACCAACATTCATGTATTTCCTCCCGTTAAGTTACCAACTTTCTCTTCTCTGCACTTTTATCACCAGGCCTTTAATGTGATAAATGGTGGCTCTCATGCTGGTAACAAGCTAGCCATGCAGGAGTTCATGATCCTGCCCATTGGTGCCACCACCTTCAAAGAAGCCATGCGCATCGGAGCAGAGGTTTACCACAACCTCAAAAATGTCATAAAGAAGAAATATGGGCAGGATGCCACAAATGTGGGCGATGAAGGCGGCTTTGCTCCAAATATACTGGAAAATAAGGAGGGTGGGCATGCTTACTACTAACTTTACTATCCTAGGTTGTTAGCAAAGTCGACCCATAGGAGCATTTGATTAAAGAATATCTAAGCAGGTTGGCAATGTAATGTTTTATTTTGTCTCCTGCAGCTCTGGAACTTCTGAAGGAGGCCATTGCCAACGCTGGGTACACTGAGGAGGTTGTGATTGGGATGGATGTGGCGGCATCTGAATTCTACAGGGACGGAAAATATGACCTGGACTTCAAGTCACCTGATGATCCGAGCCGCTATATCACCCCCGACGAGCTGGCTGACCTGTACAGGAGCTTTGTGACGGATTACCCAGGTATAAAACTTTGTACACTCTGTTCAAGAGCAAGAGTGCAGGGCGGAATAAAATATTCAACCTCATATGACTGAGGTAACACAGTTTCATGAAATAATGTTGGTGCACCTTGAACCTTTTCTCTTTTCAACTACAGACAAACATCCATTTTGGGTTCAGGCCACTTTAACTATTACTCCTTAAAATCTCAACTACAATAAAATCTGTTCATAAATCTGATGTTGGACCGTGCATGGCTTAAAGCAAAACCATGGGAGATGATGTTATTGTTATGTCAGATAGAAATTAAACTCTTTGATCAACATGCAAACAAATATTTGATAGAAAATTAACAGTGTTCATCTCTCTGGACACAACGTCCACACGATAGTGATGACAGCATCGTCCTGCTTTTCTTTAGCAGGAAATGAGGAACTAATCGAGCCTCAACAGACACAAAGAGCATTCTGGTGATGGAGGTAGGGTTGCAACTAACGATTATTAAGCAAATCGATAAATCTTGATTATTTCTTCTATTAAGCGATAAATAATCGGATATCAAAAGGTTCCCTTAACGAAGACTTTGGCTAAATTAAACCGTGGAACTAAAAGTTTTCCACTTGAGGAGTTCTGGATAGAGCAGATTTTGATCTTAAATGCAAATTGTTTCCATATTTTTTTTTTTTTACAATTTTGGTATAACTGCTGCTCAAGGTGGGATGCTCTGTCAGATAAAGTTTTATGTTTTAGAATCTCCAAACTCCAGTTAACGATTAATCGATTACTAAATCAGTTGCAGATTATTTCAATAATCAACTAATCAGGATTAATCAGATTAATTGTTTCAGCCCTAGATGGAGGAAATGGGAAATAGGTGAGATTATAGAGAGGGGGCCCTTAGGAAGCCTAGAAGGCATATTCAGTAATGACATTTACTGAAAAACTCTGAAGTATTTAATATAAACCTGCAGGGTGTGTTGCATATAAATATGTACATATTTTTAGTCAAAATCTTGACCTTATGAAAGAGTTTCAACAGTAAGTGTAAAACAGATTTGAATAATACTCCGTGACAGACTGGCAACTTTCCCACGGTGCCCCGATACGTCTGCCCTCTTTAAATCTTAATTTCAAAAGATATCTGTCTTTAGCCTGCAAATGTTGTTTGTGCTACCGTATGTAATATCACAGAAATCTGTTTAACTGTTTATTTAGTGGTGTCCATTGAGGATCCATTTGACCAGGACGACTGGGAAGCCTGGACCAACTTCACTGAGAGCACGGACATCCAGGTTGTTGGAGATGACTTAACTGTGACGAATCCCAGTCGCATCTGCAAGGCAGTGGAGGAGAAAGCCTGCAACTGTCTGCTACTCAAGGTCAATCAGATAGGAACGGTCACAGAGTCATTGAAGGCGTAAGTCAATATGAGTTTATCGTCAGAGGTTCTTGGGAAAACATACATGTTACAGTTGGAATGTATATTCGGGGTGTCACAAGCAGAAAAGCAAAAATCTGATTACGTTAGTTCTGCTTTAGTGAAATGTCATTAGATTGCACCCCGCAGGTGTAAGATGGCCCAGGAGAGTGGCTGGGGCGTGATGGTGAGTCACCGCTCCGGGGAAACTGAGGACACCTTCATAGCCGATCTGGTGGTTGGATTGTGCACTGGACAGGTAATATACAGAGCGATGTTCTGGTGTTTAATAAACATAACTTCCTACAGATATTCACCAGAGATCAATTTCACCTTTTTGGAATAACTCAATAAGGTACTGGTTGACAGCTTGTTGCCAGCAACATCAGGTGTTGATGTGTGTCTAAGAAACATACATAAGAACTAAAACTAGGGCTATAACTAACAATTATTTTGCAAATCGATTAATCTGTCAATTCTTTTTTTCGATTAAACGATTTATAATCAGATGGCAAAAGGTTCCTTAAAGAAGGCTTTTTACGAAATTAAACCAGATGAAACTAAAACTTTTCCACTCGAGGAGTTCTGGACAGAGAATACTGGCAGACAAAAAAGTTTTTTAAATCATAAATGCAAAATGTTTATATATTTTTTCACAATTTTGGCATAATTTCTGCTCTAAGTGGGTTGCTTTGTCAGCTAAAGGTATGTATTAGTCTGGAGTCTGTACTCCAGTTAACCATTAATCCATTACTAAATTAGTAGACGATTATTTCTATAATCTATTAATCATGATTAATATGATTAATTGTTTCAAATTTAACTAAAAATAAAATAACCAAAATGGTAATATTTTTATTACATCCAGATCAAGACAGGGGCTCCTTGCCGTTCTGAGCGTTTGGCTAAATACAATCAGATTCTGAGGTGAGTTTTCTTTTCATTAAAAATTTCATGATCTCTCTTCTTTGGTCACTATTTTCGCTATCCTTTTTCACTTAAATAGCTGCTTACCACTTCAATAAACTGACCAATAAACTAACCAAAGACTTTCTAAATATTCATATACCTTGAATTTCTTTACATTAAAACCAAAAACCTCAGGAAAATGACCTTAAACATAAAGCAATAGATAAGCTTGAACTTTTTTGCAAATAATAATTGGCAATAATTTGACTCACATGTATGCATTACATTGAACTGCCTGTTCAGGTATATTGTAAAGTTTGATTGAAACTATCTGGTTTTTTTTTCCCCCTTTGGAAGAATTGAGGAGGAGTTGGGAGACAAAGCTCAGTTTGCTGGGAAAAACTTCAGGAATCCTGTGATTGAGTGAAAGAGACAATTATTGGTGAATTGAGACACACAAACGAGTGTAAAGACTTTGATGCAGGAATTAGATGTTTAGAACTTTTACTGTCAGTAAATGAAAAATACAACAAATTGTTAAATGTGCTCTAAGCAGTTAAATATTAGATCTGATTGTAGTACCTTATGATGTTAACTGCATAAACCTACCCTTTGGAGATTACATTAATAAAGTTTCACTGTCTTGAAATACCTGTTTTGTTGTGTGTCCATTTTTTTCTTTTTATCCTGAAGTATGGAAGCCTTTGTGTATTTTGTTAGCTTGTTGTTTCATGTCCCCAGCTTTAAATCCAACTTGTCTTTTCCTTCCAAATATGTATGTTCTTCTCATGCATATGTGTTAACAGGAGAATCTATAATGGTGGATGACAGTCTTCCCCAGACTTACCTTATTTTCCTCTGTAAGGATGGATGGCAGACACAACAAAAAACAGATTTAGTTATTTTTTGGTTGGTTTGACCTTCCTGACACATTCAGGATTAAAATCCAAGTTTCTCATGTCACAGATGCATATTTAACTCACCCTACCACAGAGAAAGTTTCTTTTATGAGATGAAAGTGTCAATGAATTAAGTTGAGCAATTGTTGCATGACATCTATCAACTGTTTAAAAAGAAGCCCTTATATAACCCTCTTCAGCCTAAAAAGATAAATAATGATTTCATTACTGGGATGACATGTTTGGCTTTATACTGTTTGGAAAAGGTGGAGATCTGTTGTGGATAGTAGAATAACTAAATAAAACAAAACAAACACAGACAGTCAAACAACCAATTCAATTAAATTCTGTTTATTCATATAGTGCCAATTCAAGACACGTGTCATCTCAAAGCGGTTTACAAAGACAATGCAACCTGATCATACAGTCAGATTAGTTCAACGTTTTTTTTATCAAAGGAAAACCAACTGACTGCCTTGACTAATTGACTACAACCAAGCAACACAAGGGAGGAACAGTGGTCCAAGATTGTTTTCCAGTCCATTAGTTGACCATTAATCTTTTGTATGCAATAATTGTCCATATGTCTTTAAGCAGACAGGTCATTCACACTGAGTATTCTGCACTAATTTTATAAAACAGAAAAATTGGTTTAAAGAAAGCAATCACTTAAGGGGTTTATTTAAAGTCTTTAAGGGCTTATTAATTATAGCTTTTCAGTGCTATAATCTTTTTTTCTTTTCCAAATGAAATACAGCACAAAACAAACATGATTTAACACACTGCTGTTTTTCACATATTTTTAGCAAAGCAGCATCTTGTTTCAAAACTGCAGGCAGCTGGATGCATCAGGGAGCGTAAAAGTAGAGATCTCTGCTGAATTGATCCAATGGGATCCTCTGCTGGACAAAGAAAAGGACAACAATGAGGAGAAATGTCCTTGCTTATGGAAATGGTAGCAGTCACTATACAACTCTTAAGCCACAATGTGTGTTAATGTATGGACGGAGCACTATATATATATATATCATCCCGTACCATGTGAGGACTTTGTTAAAAAAAATACAAAAAATACAAAAAACACTCTTACGAAACACAATGGGTGTTTGGGTGTTTCCAGTCAGGCTTATTTTTCCTGTTTGTCAGGACCTGCAGGGTGACAAGGAAGAGAAATTACAGCTGTTATAATAGGAGCATATATTAAAAAAAAACTGCACATGCTGTTAAAGTTAAGATTTGTTAATAACTTTTAGTTGTGCCTTCCGTGAATATAGAATTCTGCGCTGCTCAGATGAAACTAGAATGTAACTATAATATCTAGATGCAAAACACTATTTGAGATGGGCAACTAACAAAATACAGCATTGCTGTTCAACATGATGATAGCAACATCATGCTGTGGCGTTGTTGTTTTGTCTGTTTTTTTGCAAAAGGAAAGAAGTTGGCAGCAGTTTGTGGGGAGAGGTTTACCTTCTAGCAGTAGAACAAGCCTAAATATAAAGCCAGAGCTATGTTGAAATGGTTTGGATAAGCCATCTTTATGTGTCAGAAAAAGTTTAGTCAAAGATTTAACCTAATACAAAGTCTGTGAGAAAGAACCCCCCTGACTGACCTAGTAGAAACCTTTGAGACATGTAAAATATTTCATGCTCTAATTGCAGCAAACTATGGTCCTACAAAGTACTGTCATACAAAAGTGTTGAAAATTGTATTTGGAAAACATTTTCACTCTTCACTGTTGCACCTGTTCAGTGACGCTGTATCTCATGAAATGCAGTTTTTGGTTAAAATTGTGAATGATTGTAAAAAAATAAAATCACTAAGGTGTACTTATTGTTTTGCAAGGTCATGCATGTCAATATCATTACGTAGGAAGGTTGCTGGTTTTAAAGATAACTATTTGTAGATATTTGCCAATTTCAAAGTATCGAAGACAACAAAGACAATTCTGCCGAAAAAAAATTTGGGGAAAAATAAGAAATACAAAAGTAAAAAGCTTCCACATCGATTATTGATTTTGACAGAAGTATTCCTATTTGTCTCGACAATGTTATCCAAAGAAAGCACAAATGCCATTTTTTGCAGGCTATCCTAGTGTCTTATAATTGCAAAACTGTGTTCTAAAGAATCCCTGCTCTGTGAAAAATAATCCATTTGAGCTCTAACCAGGCAAAACATCTGATATATTAAATGGACTGATTCCCTTTCTACTTCTGAAAAAATCCATTAATTGGAGCTAAATATTGTTTTAGTTTATCAAATAAAAAGTGACCCACCCCCCTTTATAGCACTTTACTATGTAGTGTAATGCAATGCCATAAAATTTATTTTCCCAAAATTGACATATAGGGTATGTTAATTTATTATTTGCAATGTTAATTATGGTTAAGTATGCATCATTATCATGATGATGTGATATGTTAATTGTATATGGAGTGTTCTCCCTTCTGCCCTCTTCGCAGCATTCGATGCAGGTGCAGCAGATTCCGAAACAGCTTCTTCCCCACCGCCATCAGACAGCTGAACTGTCGAAAAAACTAAATCATGTCAGACTCTGCATCAAACAGGGGCGGAGCTAGATGGGGGGCCAGGTGTGGCAATGGCCACCCTTAGCCAATCATTGGCCCCCCCTGTGGCCACCCTACCATTTATTTCCTCCTAATACAGATGGTGGCAACAGTAATACTCTCAAGTGGAATATTCTAAACATTTAAATTTTTCATACATTTACAATTACTTGACAACAAAACAATGTGGTTAATTATGCACATCAATATATTATCATTAAAGACAATAAGTACTGAATTCAACCAGAAACAGATTTTGTGTTTTAAGGGGTAAAGAGAAAATGTCTCTGCAAGTCATCTAGGAGTCTTCAGAGAAATCAGTGATAAATAACAATTTTAATAAAAACGTATTAAATAATCAATTTACGTAGATATTAGTACTTGTAAATATCAATCTTATGCAGAATGATTACTGATAAATGTAGGTAAGTAATGACAATGGAAAAGATGTTCACCCAAAACTCAAACCTGAAAGAATGTTATTCACTATACCTTTTATTTAGAAAGCACGGATGTTTGAATATATTTGTCTTTTTGTTAGCAAAGCCTGTGGGAAAGTATAGTTTTTCTTTATTTACAAAATATGGATGTTTTGCTCGTTAATTTTCCTGTTGGAACAGTGTAGATTGACCATGAAGTTTTGGTGTCTATCTACTTTCAGCCACCCCACAGTGCACATTTGTTATTGCCTGGCCACCCTTATAAAAAATTTCTGGCTACGCCTCTGGCATCCAGCTGACAACACCAAACCAAAACACTGCAAAATTGCACCATATATATTTAATGCTCCGAACTTCCACATCCTTGAGCTTTTTTGCACGTTTTTTTTTTCTTCCACACTGTTTACATTTGATCACTGTTGCACTTTAAGAAATGGAAATGTCATGAGAGCTGTACAAAACAAAATATCGTTATGTACACACTGTGTGTTTACAAAATGACGTGTATGAGGTAAATGCATTTTTTAAATAAAACTTTTTTATTTCAAAGAGCTGTAGAAGGGACCAGTAGGCTACTATTAGAATATTGTATTCCCCCTGTTCCATTTTTGGTCATGGAAAAAAAAGGTATTTTTCAATTTTTTTATTATTGTTTTCCTTACTCTTTTATATTTGAAAAAAAAAAGACAAAGTATTATATCATTAGATGAGTTAAATAAAATGTTTAGCTAGCATAAGTTATTCTATTAGGAGCAAGGGCCTAATGGGGACTGTGTTACATAACAGTGTTAAAAACTGCAAGCAGCAGCCCCGCAGAGTATGATAAACCGTTCAGATTAATGGCTGACTGCGCAGCAACAGCAGCAGGAAAGTGGCGATGAAGCCCAGCATGTCTGCGGCACATGCTCAGTTCTGAACATCCAGATAAGATGTGAACGCTCTGTGGCTGCTGAGGTCACTACACTGAAAAAAAAAAAATAGAGCGAGCCTCTACACTACACCGCCTCCATTTTGAATAGCCATGTAATAGGGATCGCACAGTTGGTGCGCGTGTATACATGTATGTGTGTGTGTGTTTGTGTGTGTGTGTGCGCGCGCGCGCGTCTCGCCCACAGTGCTGCGTAGTGTCAACAAGCCACAACCAACCAAACATCCGTCGACATGGACGACCTGTTCAGTCCCCGCAGGTAACTTCGTTAACTTGTCATCTGCGTTGCGTTTAAAAATCTGTGCGTGTTAAACGCGCATTCCCTTGTCCGGCGGCGTTACTTCGAGGGCCGTCGGTGTTTAATAGCCTGGGTGTCAGTGGTCACGAAGTTCGTGTGTGGCTAACAAGCTAGATGTTACCTCGTTAGCAGCTAGCGGCTCCCGCTGGGAAAACGCCTCTCTCTCTGTTCACTTTAATGTGACCAACACTTATTTCCCCGTGCGTGCTTTGAATTATTCTGTCATAAAAAAAAAAAAAAACACTTATTAAAACATTTTATGCACCCGCTGTTTGATTCACCTTGAGGTTAAGCGGGTATCTTAGCGGGTTGTTGCTAATGTACATTAACGTCTTATGTGTGCTAACCTTTACGTGTATTACTGATTGTACATATTAGCTGTTGTTTTGTTATTTGACAGGTACACGCAGACTGCCAACCTGTTAAGATCTGCGGAACGGCACAGGCTGTTCTCGTAATGGTGACCGTAAAAATTAGCAGCTTAAGCGTGATTGATTGACAGTGTTTTGCAGCCGCTGTGGAGTCGGATTTCATTCATGTAATAGAAGAAACTGTGAACTGAGATTGGATCACAGAGGAGGAGGGGCGGGATGATGATCTGTTGCTGAAATCAGTGCAGGGGAAGGGAGGGAAGCCTCAGATGATACAGGAGGCGTAGGTTACTCTGTCTGACTGCATACTGTATATGCGTCTGTACTGTAAATAGATGAGATAACCATTAAAGAAAGTCTTATGTACTCTGAAACGCTTTTATACATTTTATTTGTTTCTTTCTTTTTATTTCAGGAGCTTGAACAGCACACAGGGTGAAATAAGAGTGGGACCAAGTCATCAGGTAAATATAACTCCCAATTTAGATGCTCTTTATAATTACTTAAATTGCAGTAGTAGTGACACTCTTTTCTAATTTCAGATCCATGTATATGAATATCAGATTGTCATTGTGATGAGAGTTTTTTTGAACAATATGCTCACAATATCTAACCAGACTAAATGTGAGATTAAATGTGTAATTTAGTCCAGCCCCTATGAATGAGACATCGGAAGATTGTTGTTGAGAACAACCTGTTGTTTTTCAAACCATGTCTGTGCCTATTGGCCAGCGCTCTGACCAATAAGTGCACTGACTGTGACATAGGAAGCGAGACAGAAAGCTGGTGGGGGTGCAAACAAAAAGCCTGCTGGTAAAACGGCGAATTTGTCCTTCTTAAAAATGAATGGGCGTAGAGCCTCTTCCTGCTCACGTTTCAACGAAAACCCCAAGTTTAATCCTTCCAAAACTGATTCCAAAGCTGAGTCAAAAATCGCCATCAGAGCCAGCGGTCCTTAACACACAACTATGCCGAGAGAGGGCCGCTACAGACAGGCTGCGGTCAGCCCTGGCTGCCGTTAGCCTCAGAGGTCTGCTGGTTGCCGCGGTCCTCTTAACTTGGAAATTGTTTTTTATTTACACATTAAATAGGTAAATGGACCATATAGTGACGCTTTACAGTATAATATTCTCACCTCAAATGATCTTAAAACATACTTTTATTGAACAACGCAATAGAAAAGAGGACTTTTAACTTTTAATGGAGTGCTCCATTGAAATCTACTACTGGCATAGTGCATGCTACTGTTCAATAGTTGTTGCCATCTTCCTTGTTGTGCTTTCTCCAGCGTCGCACAGCTTTGTCGTCACGCCCTCAAAATCCAGACATTCAGAACTCATTTCTGTGTTGTGATTGGCCCACCAGTTCTAGGGCCTGGGGCATTGATCGAGGCTAGACCAAACTCGCAGGCAAAAATGATTTTGGCCGCTGGCAAGTGGGGCTAGTTTACTAGGCTACAAAATATCCCTGAAAAAAAAGCACTTTCTATTTTTTTTTATTATTTTTGCAATTTTGTTGAATGCTTTTATGACGTTAAAAGGGAACCCTTGATTAAAAACTGGTTCCTTCTACATTGCTGGCAACACAGACTTGGAGGTTTTCACAAAAAAATTCAGTCACTATCTGAAAGAGAGACAAAGCAAGCCCAAGTTTAGGGTGCAGGTGAAGCAGAGCAGTGCTTGTTTATTTCAGTATGCACTATGCATTTATGTTTCTGTCTTATCATGTGTTTTTATTCATTATTCAATAATAAAATGCATAGAAAGGATGTTATTCAAATAAGCCCTTAAAAGTGCAGTTTTTTTTCGAAGAGAATATAAAATATCTACGTTCATAGCCTATAATTGCACAAATCAGTGAAATAATTGGTGACATTTGTATAACACAGACTGTGAGCAAAGCTGGTTTCTGCTGAAGCTTCTATTGTTTTCTTTGGATAAAATAAACATTATTGGCTTTTAGAACTGATCTTTTATAATGATTATACTTAATTCTGCCCAGCTGCATGCTACCTTGGCTTTATCAATTGTCTTCTTCCCAGAAAAGTATTGCAAACCGACGTCTGGTGTTGCAGTATTCCTGAAACCAAGCAGCAGTGCGCATTATTATTAGATTAACATTGTTTTTGCACAACCTGGGGTCTACCTGAACAGTTAATGAATGATGGTATAATGAATTTCCCCAGACTTCCATCTCTGCGTCACTTCTGGTCGACTTTTTATTATACAATTTTAGCAAAGAAATACAACCAATATGGATCACATTTTCTTATATGGAACACATTACATCTTAAATCCCAATGGAATTTAGAATACTTCCCAGGTTTTCAATATTAAAATATATACACAAATCATATCCTACCAATCGCTAGACAAAGCTGAACTAAAGGACAGCACAGAGGCACTCATCATGGCTGCACAGGAGCAGGCCCTGAGCACCAGAGCAATAGATGCCCAGATCTTCCACACCAGACAAGACCCCAGGTGCAGACTTTGCAAGGAGGCCCCTGAGGCCCCAGGGTGTAAGATGCTGGCAGGGAAAGCTTACATGGAGCGCCATAACCAAGTGGCTGGAATAGTGTACAGGAACATCTGTGCAGAGTATGGGCTGGAAACCCCAAGGTCAAAGTAGGAAACACCTGCAAAGATGGTAGAGAATGACCAAGATCCTGTGGGACTTCCAGATACAGACGGACCGAATGGTAATGGCAAACCAACCGGACATTCTGGTGTTGGACAAAAAGTAGAAGAAAGCCTTTGTGGTTGACATAGCAATACCAAGTGACTGCACATCAGGAAAAAAAAGAACATGAAAAACTTGATAAATACCAGGGGCCCAGAGAAGAGCTGGAGAAAACCTGGAAGGTAAAGGCATCAGTGGTGACCGTGGTCATTGGGGCACTCAGGGCAGTGACCCCCAAACTTGTAGAGTGGTTACAGCAGATCCCTGGAAAAACATCAGACATCTTGGTCCAGAAGATTGCAGTTCTAGGAACAGGAAAGGTACTGCGGAGAACCCTCAAGCTTCCAGGCCTCTGGTAGAGGACCAGAGCTTGGGGGGAAAAGGGGAAAGACTGCCTGCGATGGGTGAGGAAGAATATTTGAGTATCAGTGCTCAAGTATTGTTACAGATTTTAAACTTGATTTGGGTCCAGACATCGGCTTACTCTTTCTGTCTCACGTTGTAGCTCTGTTTATAAATGTAGAGCCGTTGTCCTGTTAAAGGGGAACATCTCTCCACGTTTGAAGCTTCTTTCTTGCCCTAACTGGTTAGGGCAAGAAAGAAGCCTAAGATTGTCTTCTGTTTCGCTCGATCTATTTCCCCTTATCTGCATCTTCACAATATAATACTTTGTTGTTTATCTGTTTTTCCTGCAGGCAAAGCTCCCAGAGCTACAGCAGCGGCCTTCATCTGGTGCACAGACCCAGACAGAGAATGAGGAGCTCATGTGGACACCTGGAGTTAATGACTGTGACCTTCTTATGTACCTTAGAGCAGCCAGGTCAGTCTCTGTCTTGGAGGCAGACATTTATTTGCTTTTTAATAAATGTCATTTTGGTAACTTGAATATTTTTTCTAGACCACAGTAAGTTTTAAACTGAATTAGTAAGCCATAATCATATGTAATGATTTTGACCTTTTAGATTTTTTAAGGTAATGTGTTACTCAGTCCTTTTTCTTTGCTTTTACTTTATTTACCTTACTATATTTATATATTTAGCTGATCTAAGCAGCTATGCAAATGGTTGTAAATTGAGTAAGATTAAGGCTATTCTGTGCTTTTTAAAATATTTTTTCATGATAGTATCTAAATGCAACATTACTATTACTCTATTGCTATTATGAGTAATGTAATTGTGATTGTTTTAGGAGCATGGCAGCATTTGCAGGGATGTGTGATGGTGGATCCACAGAGGATGGATGTCTGGCAGCTTCCCGTGATGACACCACACTTAACGCTCTCAACATGGTGCGCAGCAAAACCTGAACTATGTAATCTTGAAGAAATAACATAATTTCAGCGCTATTATTCAAAACAAGTTGATATTTTTTACCCATTTCATTTTAGCTTCATGCAAGCCATTACGACGCAGCCAAAGCTCTGCAGCGTCTGGTCAAGAGGCCACTACCAAAACTGATTGAAAAATGTTGGTCAGAAGATGACGTGGTGAGAAAACTCTTCCAAACGGATCAGTTCTACAGTTGTCCTTTAGAATTTATTTTGTACTTTCTTTAGCAGTGGGAACAAGTAATTTGATATATGTTTTAAAAATAATGAATATGTTGAGCATCATTATATTAACTTTAGCTATTAAATTGTGAGCTCTGCTGGAGATGTGCTCAACAAAACAATTCTGAATGCTGCAAATCAGCTAAGAAAATTCCTTTAAGTGACTATTAATGAGCTTAAGACCTTGATTTTTCAGACGACTGCTAGACAAAAATTGAATAAAGTTACAGGAATAAGATCAGTTTCATTAGACATTGAAAAGTTGATATCAACACAGGCAATAGAGAAAGATATAGGTCCTGTTATGGATCATTGCAATAATTATTATAATTTTGAATTTGATTTCAGTTCAGGTTATATAGCAAGTAGAGACTGTAGTGTTTATTTATAGAACTGCTTCCTCTGATTTGTTCATGTTGATCTTACAGAAACGCTTCATCAAAGGTCTAAGGCAATATGGAAAGAATTTTTTTCGCATCCGGAAAGACTTTCTGCCCAGCAAAAAGACTGTAAGCAACTGTTGTTTTATTTAATTTGTTAGATATTTTCTCTTTAATTATTGATATGGAATTAACAGACACGATTAAATAAATCTGTGTTGTCATCAGGGAGAACTGATCACATTTTATTACCACTGGAAGAAAACCCCAGAGGCTGCTGGAACCAGAGCTTATCGTCAGCAACGTCGGCAGCCGTCCTCTCGCAAAGCAAAGACTCGATCCACAGCAGCTACTGTCAGCCCTCCATCTCGAAATTATTCAGGTCAGGGTTATATACATATATACAGTTGGGATGTCCTGATCCAATATTGATATCAGATATTGCTTCCATGTCGGCCTGCATCAAAAATGTAAAATAATGACCATGCTGGTATGAACACCCTGCTTCTGTTTAAAGTTAATCTGTGGTTAATAACACATGGGTTAATTGTTCTCCTAACGATTTTTCTTTTATTAATCATCCCACACTAAAAAATAAGTAATGAAAGTATGTTGATTCGTACTAATATCATATCTGGTCAACATCGGTATCGTATCAGAAATTAAAAACAATTATAAACTATTGGGACACCCTTGGTAGGTATTGTTCAAAACTCTATTGTGGTGGTAGTATCATGCTAACTAACACAATGGCCGTTTCTCAATATGTGTACTTGTGCGTTCTCACGTGCTCATGAAACGTCATCAGCCTCAGCCCTAGTACTGTTCCAATTCAGAAGAACACAAGACCGAGAGCGGAAAAAATCCCCAGATGTTGTTCTCGCCCCTGACAACTGACAGTTGTCCCAGCATGCACCACAGCAGCAGCTTCTAATGGAGTGGTCACACAGCTCAGGTTATTTGGTTAAAAATTCACTTATCTGCTGTTGATGTTCTACAAAAGCATTTTTTTAAGATCATTTGAGGCAAGCACATTAAACTTTTAAGCTTCACTATAAGGCCTATTTACTGATTTAGTGCGTAATTTAAAAAAAAAGTTCAAATGTTGAGAGGGCCGTGGCAACCAGTGGACCTCCGAGTCTAACTGCAGCCAAGGCTAAAGTTAGCCCATCTGCAGCAGCTCTCCTGGGCATAGCCGTTTTTGATGAACCACTGGTTCTGGTTTGCTTTATTTGGAAAAACATTCATTTGATTTTTGTTTACCTGACTGTATTAATCATTATCCCACCACTAAATGAAAAAAGTTACAATTTATTATTATCTAGAGACTATTAATAACAGGAAGTGAAATGCAGCTCCAGACGCTTTGAATGTGGTGATGTCACAAGTACACTACTGTTCCAAATTACCCAGAGTTTTCTGCATTTTCCCGTTCTCCCAGAGTCCATACTTTCCTGTGTTCCTGTCAAGAACGTACTTTGTGAACGTACTCATTAGTTTTGTGACTCTGTTTCAATGATGTGGATAGTTGGTAATGTAACTCTGTATTTAAACTAATCTAGCATTCAATGCTGGTAGAGACTAGTAGCGCTTCCAGACCAGTAGTTAAATGGGTGCTGTTTAGGTGAGAAGTGTTCATATTTACATACAGAACAGCGTAACGAGCATAATGAGCATAATGTGTGTTTTTTATGTGTTGTTCATCCTCATCTCCATAAATGAATATAAAAAATTCCGGATCGGACTCTGGATCGGTTCGTTTTTCTGTTCTAACCTGCCTCCTCTCTGGCAGGGTTCTCGAGAGCGAATTTTAGTGGAGCGGTTCTCTACTCTCAAATGTGTTTCCCTACACTGAAATTCAGGCTCATTTTTATAAGCGTATCAGCCCTTTTACAGACATCTGTGCTCCCTCCCCAGGGTTCTGTCCAGTGATTCGAGCGCAAGCGCTGGTTACACTGAAAGTTGTCAAAATCCCATTGATATTAGACAGATACACTAAATTTTACTGAACATAACAGCCACAGAAACAGTGTTTTTAAACACAATTAGCTCCTTATTTGCACATATATATGTTAGAAAGGTGGACCGCACACCCTTCATGTCATTGACATACCCTGAGCGCCTGCAGACAGGAGGACACACGTGCCTCTGACTCACCAGCAGGCAGAGAGTCAGCTTTAATAGCAGGAGAGAAGTTGGCAGGTTAGCAAGGATTCTCACAAAGCCGGTGTGTAAAGCAGAACCAACAGAGGGTCGGAGTGTTTTTTTTTCTTTTACCCAATAAACCACAGCATTGCTGCGCCAGTTTGTAGTCACTTTTTGTCCATGTTGAAACATCACCTCCGACATGGAGAAAAGAAAAAAAACAGTTAGCTTTATTAGCAACAAGACAAAACAACAAGGACCAAAAAGGTGTAATGTAGAATAAGAAAAAAACAACCCCGCCCTACACAATGTGCAAACCTCATGTTTTATTGCTTCTCTTCAAAATACCTGTTAGGCTATGCTTAAAAAGGAACTGCAACATCCTCTGGTGGACAGCAGTAACATTAGAAGACTAAAAGAAAATACATCTAACCAGAAGCTATCAAATAATCAGATGGGACTCATTTTAATCTAATAAATCATTAATCAGAATTGAATCAGAGTGGATTATTTGTGTAAATCTCTTGTCTGAGCGTGTTCAGAGAAGGGAAAAATCCCCGTAACTTCATATTTGTTAGACAAATGAAAGTTGCTTTTTGTATTGGCATCCTACCCTGGATAAAGAGTAGTTCATATGTTTTTTATTATATAAAGCCCTATGTTTTTCAGTCTATAAGGGATGTATTTTGTAATCTTACTAATTCTTTAGCTGATGCTGTCTTTTATGTAGACATATACACATCTGATCAATTTTTTTTCAAGTTAGTCACTTGCTCTGTTTTGTTGTTTTGTTTATCCGCTGTAGTTGAAGCCAGCTCTGCCAGTGAAGATGATGTCGACAGCGAAGACAGCGAACAGGAAGCAAAGAGCTGCAGTCACTGTGGAACAACCAGTAGGTTTTATTACAGAGTGAAGAGCTTTAAGCAGCGCCTGAAACCTGCCTCTAAAGCCATTGTTTATTTAACAGCTTCCAAGGATTGGCACCAGGTCGGGAGAGACAACTCTCTGCTCTGCACGACTTGCCGCGTGTACGAAAACAAACATGGTTGCCTGCCACCTGCCTCTAAATCTGCAAGCGCTTCATTTATGTTCAAACCTGTCAAAGCGGAAGAAGAGGTGAACAACAAGCATGGAATGAGGACTCGGCAGAGCAGAGCACCTGTAAGCTTTCATCTTCATGTTAACTCGCAAATGCAACAAAAGACAAGTTAGATTAAAGATTGATTATTTGAGTACAATAGTTTTTTGTAAACAATTATGATGTTGGCTGCATTTTAAAGCAGATGTCATCATTAAGAAGTGGCCTCAGGAGGTTCACAGGCTCACCAAGCACAGAGGATTCACAGCACAGTAACCACAATTTCCCAACTGGAGGAATCTCAATTTCATTAAGATCCTCTGCAGATCATAAAAATGACTCCACAAAGAAAGGGAACAAGGTAAGCAGCATATAACCAAAAATCAAATAACCCCATATGGCATCATTTAAACATGTAAATATAGGAATATTTATGTGCTCTTTTGTCAAAATGTTATAGATCCAGGTCATTTAGACACTTTATTTGTTTGAGAAGGGACATTTTAGTCATAGTAATTTGCTCACAGGCTCTTTAATAGGACTAGTTTAATCCTGTAATTTTGCTTTTTCTATAGAAGATAAAAGAGGAGGTAACGGTGCCAAAGACTGCAAAACGCGTGCGGGAAATTCCTGCTGTAGAGCCTGATGAACCTGAAAAGATGACACCTAAAAGGCCAAAGATTCAGGTAAAAGACAGGCGCAAGTAAACCTACCAGATGTGAGACCACATGTCATTAAGGCTTACAAGGATTTCCTGCTAAAACACTGTGTTTTAGCAGGAAATCCAGGGATTCGAAATCTAAGGGTTCAAAACCGGATATAAAATTTTCCAACCACAGATCCCTTTGTTCTTTGACTTTTACTTCCATTGTTTTTATAATAACAGCTCTCTAACACTCTCTGCTTAGTGTGGTAGTTTCCTTTAAGAAATATTCCCCGCTCATGGAGTTATCATGAAGCTTTCTAAAAGGCTTTCATACTGATTAATTGTAGATGGTGCATGCCAGACTTTGATTTATACGCATCAGTGACCTCAGACCTTCTTCTGTTAAGAACTGCTCTGTTCTTATACCTTTACAGGAGCTTTAAGTAATTCCACCAATAGGGGCGCTGTTGAGCACTGTCTGTATACTAATGCATACTACATTATAATACAACTTTCTATCAAGCTTGATATAATGACACAAGATTATATGTAATATGTTTACACTAATTATTGATAATTTCAATAATAATGATAATATGAGAGTTTCTTCATGTTAAATTCAAACCGACTGTCACTGGTGAAATAACCTTCTACCCTCTTTATTGCATTGTTATATTTATATTTGGTTTAGACAATCAATGATAGATCTATTGTTTCCCTTTTTCTCATCACTTTGATTTACAATAAAAGAGAGAAAAAAAGGAATTTGCTGTCGGTTTAAAGACTGAAGGTAACTATACAGAAAACATTGAAGCAGAGACAACCAGTGGGTCACGATGCTGACTCCAGTGAAAAGTCAGAAAATCTAAGCACCAGTTATCTGTTTCATTTTAACCTTACATGGACTCTTTGTTTTGAAGTTTTGTTCTGACAGTTCAAAATAAACCAGGTTTGTTTGTTCTTTAAGGATCCACAAGGCGGCTCACGTTCAGAAGGTGAGGCAGAGGAAGAAAGCTCCTCAGAGAGTCGCAGCGCTCACGATGATGGCAGTGACACCAAAGACATCGATCAGGACAACCGCAGTTCCTCTCCAAGCATACCTAGTCCTCAGCAGGGCAATGAGAGCGACTCAGACTCTTCTGCCCAGCCCAACGGGGCTCCACCAGAGGCTTGCGCTTCAGCCACTGTGCCATCTGACTCATCGGTATCTCAAGGTCTCTCCTCTCAGGACCCTCCCATCGCCAATCAACCTTCACAAAGCATTGCCTCAGCTGATCCGGCCCAGAGCCCTGGTCTATCTTCTCCAGACTCCACACAGTCTGCTGCTGCTCAGTCCCCAGCCACAGGCAGCTCAGGAAGCCGGTCACAGCTGGTCCCAGGTCCACGGCCGACACCAGCAGCACTCAGTCAGGACCCTCCTCTTGCTTCTACGTTGCACTTTTCACCGTCTCTCAACTCCTCACAGCCCCTGCAGCCAAACAGCTCACCACCGCAGACCCCTCCCCGTTCTGTGCCCTTTTTTAGGGATACTCAGCTCCCACACCCACCACTCACTGGCGCCCAAGTAAAGCCCCCTCCCACAACCCCAATTCCACCATCCCACAAACAGTTGCCACACCCGTCTGCAGCACCTTTCCCTCAGATGCCTGCTAATCTTCCCCCTCCTCCTGCTCTGAAGCCCCTCAACACTCTCCCCAACCAGCATCCTCCAGGGGCCCCTCCTCCTCCTTTGCAGCTCATGTCGCATCCTTTGCCTTCACATTCAGCTCCATCCCAACCACCGATGTCTTCTCAGAACCACCCTGGGAAAAGCATGACCTCTCCCCTCACAGCACCTCCAGTTTCCCTCCCTCTCACATCATCTGCTGCCGGCCCCGTTCCGAACCTGCAGCCATCCATCCCACATCTTCCTCCCAGACCCTCACCAAGCTCTGCTACAGGGGCATCACAAATACAGATTAAAGAAGAGCCGCTGGATGAGGTGGAGGAGCCCGAGAGCCCGCCGTCTCCTCCCAGGAGCCCCTCCCCAGAGCCTTCTGTCGTCAACATGGCAAGCCATGCCAGTCAGTCCGCAAGGTATGATCAAAGTTCTCCCATCAAGCAAGAGAAATAGTGCAGATTTTTTTTTTCAAACATTTCACATTATATTCCTCCAAATATATAAATACCTGCTGCTATAGCATCTTAAAATGTAAAAAAAAGTTAGGGTTTTGCAGGTGTTTGTTTTGTTTTACGTAAGAACATGTTGATGTCTTTTGCTGATTAAATCCTTTATCATCTCTTTTAGGTTCATAAAACATTTGGATCGTGGCTACAACTCTTGTGCAAGAACAGACCTCTTCTTTACTCCGCTATCGACCTCCAAGCTGGCCAAGAAAAGAGAGGAGGCTGTAGAAAGGTTGAGGAGAGAGGCTGAGCTCAGCGCTCGGCAGGAACGTGAAAGAGAGAAGGACAGGGAGCGGGAGAGGGAGAGAGAAGCAGATAGAAACTCTGTAAGCAAAAAAAAACAACTCCTTTTAATCTGTTTCTTATAAAATACTTTCTCTTCAACATCATACATTTCTCTGACTCCCCTTTTTTGTCTTCAGAGGGCATCCAGCTCTTCCCACGACAGTCGCATGAGTGAGGTGCAGATGACTGCTCAGGTTCACGGCCGGCCCTCCTTTGAGCAGCCCCCCACTACCGTAGCGGCCGTGCCCCCTTACATCGGCCCAGACACACCAGCCATGCGAAGCCTTAATGACTATGCTCGACCACACGTCATGTCCCCCTCAAACCGCAACCATCCTTTCTACGTGTCCCTGAGCCCGGGAGACCCCCTGCTGGCCTACCACATGCCTGGCCTATACAGCACGGATCCGGGCCTTAGAGAGCGGGAGCTAAGAAACTTCAGGGAGCGAGAGCTACGTGAGAGAATGAAGCCTGGCTTTGAGGTCAAACCCCCAGACCTGGAAACTCTACACCCGTCAGCCAACCACCTGGAGCACTTTGCTAGACACGGTGCGCTGGCTCTTCCCCACATACCCGGGCCCTCCCACCCTTTTGCACCCTTCCATTCCGGGCTGAATCCCTTGGAGCGTGAGAGGTTGGCGCTAGCAGGCCCTCAGATGCGCCCTGAGCTGAGTTACGCTGAGAGGCTGACTGCAGAGCGGCTTCATGCTGAGAGGATGGCTTCTGTGGCGACTGATCCAGCTGCCCGGCTGCAGATGCTCAACGTGACTCCTCATCACCACCAACACTCTCACATTCACTCCCACCTGCACCTCCACCAGCAGGACCCCCTTGGTCAAGGTGAGGTTGAGTGGTTAGCTCCTAAGTTCTCTGAAGGTTTGAAACTTATTTCAAATCTGATACTTTTTCAGGTTCCAGTCCTCATCCTCTGGTGGACCCGCTGGCAACAGGACCACGTTTGGCTCGATTTCCTTTCCCTGGCCCGATGCCCAATCCATTGCTCGCTGATCTCCCTCACGATCATGAGATGCTGCGCCACCCACTGTTTGGTTGGTATTCTTAACCCCTACTGCAACCTTTGTTGTGCTGGTTTAAACTGGATTTTTTTTTTTATAGGAGCTGCATATCCGCGAGAGCTTCAGGGTCCTATTCCTCACATGTCTGCCTCACATCAGCTCCAGGCCATGCATGCACAGTCTGCAGAGCTGCAGAGGATGGCAATGGAGCAGCAGTGGCTTCAAGGGCATCACATACATGGAGGCCCTCTGCCAAGTCAGGAAGATTATTACAGGTGAGAATACTTAAACTGATTTTACCCCTTAAAAATATGTATATTTTAAAAGATTTAGTTAACCGGTACATCTTTAATAAGAATAAAGTAGTTGCACATTTTCAGTTCTTGCTACTTTTAGATTTGCTCTTGGTCCAACACACCTGAATCAAGCGGTGGCAGTGGAGTCAGCATAATTGTCTAATTACTTAATTCAGGTGTATTGGACTGAGGGCACATCTAAAGGTTGCAAGTTACCTCCCCTCAGGAACTGGAACTGAGTTGTTAATTGAACTAGTTTTATTTAAAAAAGTGGAACTGAAGTGTTAAATGTAGATCCATTAATTTTTGTTTATTTTTATTTTTTATAAACGAGACTCAGATTCTGAGAAATTTGAATATTACATAAAACCAGAAAAGAAGGAAAAATGTAATACAGGAGTCTTATAGTCCTGTTATGATCCAGGAAGTCATGGAGAGGACTGCTGGCTGAACAGTCACTGACACCCTTTGCATGGTGATTAAAGGAATAGTACACCCAAAACATGATTAGCCTTCATTTTCTACTCACCCCCATGCTGAACAACACTCTGGAGTACTTTTTTGATATCT